ATAAAATATATTAAAATATATATATATATACATAGTACAATCATAAGTTTCAATCACTATAATTGAGAAAAAGCAAAGAGAACAATAACCCTTGAGATTTTGCCCTATTTTGTTAACCTTGTGGTATACATTTTCATGTTTTAAAGTCTGAAATTGAGCTGCATTCTATTGTTAATGGCATGCTACAGCAAAATTGGCAGTCCTTAATATTTCTTAGTGGTCTGTAAACTGATGGGACCATCAACATCTGTGATGTCTTAGATGAAACAAAATGTTCTCTGTATTTTTATTGCTAATAATAATAAGAAAGACCACAAGAATGCCCACTAGGAGCCTATAAGTGACTGATTAACCAAAAATCTTTAAAAGTAGTAGAATTCTCCAGGATGTTGATGAATATTCATCAGGAACTACTGAGCCTTAGAGCATCCAAAATAGTGTAGGAATGACTAGAAAGGGCATTTTCCACTTGTCTGTCTAAAGCACAAGCAAAATGTGGTTGGAGACAGGAAACTGCTATTATTATCTAAATAGAAGAAACTGTATATACCAGCATCTGTTAAATGAAGGGCATCATGATGATAGTAATAACTAACTTAAGTAATGCTGACCATAGACATGTTCTTCAAAACCAGTAACTTCACTTCTTTTAACACATTTAGTCCTCATGACACTGCATTGTGGAAATATTTTGTGTGTGTTTGGGGAGGGGGAGGTGTTGTGTGTGATACCGGGCTGAAGAAAGGTTCGCTAACTTGTTTCAGGCACACGGCTTATAAAGGGGAGATCCAGATTCACACGCAAGCAGTCAAACTCCAAGGTCTCTGCTCTCAATCAAGGCTGCTGCCTCTCAGTAAAGAGAATGAACCACTTGACCACCAGGGACCGATAGACAGTAATGGATATTTCATGTGAGTTTTTGCCACAGAACCACTTAGACACATACATCTAAGTCCTTCAGATTTTTACTACATATGTGGCTTGGGGAAGAAGAGATAAGGAAGAGCTCTTAATTTTTTTTGAGTTCTTAGGACAGAATTATTACATCTAAATTCAGTGTGGCAATATTGACTTAGCAGTGTCTTAAAAGGAATGTACTCCATAAATAATAAAAATGATCAATAGGAGCAACAAAAATTAAATTCCTGTTTTTATCCTGGGAAGACATATGCAATAAAATAAAAAGAAGAGAACATGTTTTGCAAGCTGTGTTTTCTAAAGTGAAAAATGCTTATTTGTAATCAACTATGATCTTACACTAAAAGTACAATCATTCAAATGCCATAATGCCTTGTTTTTATATGTTCTAAGGCTCTGCTTGTGTTACCTGAAGGCGGGTGGTAGCATTAGAAGAACTCTGACCTAAAAACCTTCCATGTGTGTTTGATGCCAGCATTATCACTATATTACCGTATTTTTCGGACCATAAGACGCTCCAGACCATAAGACGCACCAGTTTTTAGAGAAGGGAAATGAAGAAAAAAAGATTCTGAAACAAATAGTGTCCTAAAATATTTTATGTGCATTAAAACCCAACATCACAGTCATAAACATATGTAATCAACCCTGTAAAGTAAACAGCAGCATTTAGAACCATTTTAGAGCCGGGCAAGCACACAGAGACCACACAGAGCCGGGCAAGTAAAAAAACTTTTTTTAAAGTATATGTGTAGGCTATCTTTGGACCATAAGACGCAGGGACTTTTTCCCCCCACTTCTGGGGGAAAAAAGTGCGTCTTATTGTCCGAAAAATACGGTATATTATCCTAGGAAGTTCAGCACTCCACCAGCTTCATGTGTCAGTCTTCAGTCAGGATTAGCCAGTAAGAGAAAGTGACTGTTCCACATTTATAACTACATATATTTATATTTCAGTGTAGGTATTTTAGTTTGCCTGAAATGGGAATATTTGCATCTGTGGAAAATACAATGCTTTAAAACTAATGAACAAAAATCTAGTTTATTTCCTAACTCTCATAGTTTTTTTTATTATTATTAATTATTAAAACTAGAGGCCTCTTGCAATCCAGGACCCCTCAAGGAATATTGGAGAGCTAGTTTCAGCCTAATCCCCACAGGCCAGGCCGAGGGACCCCACCGGTGCACAAATATGTGCACTGGGCCTTTAGTATGCATATAAGATCTTTGGTTAAACTCTTCCAACCCTCCCTACCCCTCCACTCTTCCCTCTGAGATTCATCAGTCTGGTCCATGTTTCCATGCCTGTGGTTTCTGCTCCTGCTTTGAGTGCCTGCCTGGTGGTCAGTGCACATCAAAGTCACCAGACAGTTGGCTGGTTGGCCAGTCAGCCTGTTGCTTAGACTTTTATATACATAGATAATTTACTGGATGAAAACTAGTAACACATTCCTCTACCACTTGTGGACATGGTGGTATAAATGTTTTGTATATTCTATATCACTTAATTCTAACAATAACCATATGAGGTCAATTTTGTCACCTGGAGATAAATTAATGTGTTTAATATTTCACAGGATGCTAATAGTAGTTCACAATATAAACCCCAAATCTGTCTGTATTTGTCAGAGTCAAAATAGGAAATAGAAAAACTACACAGTAATTTGAGCAGGTAAAGTTTAAGAATTGCTAATTATGATAGGGATTAGAATAATTATGATTGGCTACTAAGGATAAAAAGAATCATAGGAATTGAGAAGCGCTGACATAGGAAGTGGCCACTATTTCTAGGTCAGAGGCAGAGTACCTACAGAAAAAAACAAATTTTAACGAGTGCCCCTTCCCTCATGCGGATTGAAAAGTCCTGGGTTCGATTCTGGTCAAGGGCATGTATCTTGGTTGTGGGCACATCCCCAGTGGGGGGGGGGGTGTGTGCAGGGGGCAGCTGATCGATGTTTCTCTCTCATCGATATTTCTAACTCTATCTCTCTCCTTCCTCTCTGTAAAAAAATCAATTATATATATGTATATATATATATATAGACTCCCAGGGAAGCCACTTTCTGGAGTTCTGGGGAAACTGTCTAGAGGAAGATGTCACAATATAGAACCCACTGGGAACTCATTCATGGGGAAGGTTTGCACCAGAGAACTCACTAGGAAGTTCCCAAAATGTGTATGTAGGGAGTCCTCAGTGGAGTCAGGTGACATGGCCAGAAGCTACCCTGCACGGCTGCCCACTGTCCACTGTAGGAGCAGGCTGGGGGAGCACCCAGCACCAGAAAGAGCCCTTCATTCTCTACTTGATATTATCCTCCAAAGAAGATGTTTAAAATTGTGCCATATGACAAGGGATAAATGTCCTAGTCTCACAAGCAGGACAATGAAGGTGGATGTGGAGTGAGGCAATATGGTAAAATCTGTCATACTGCTTACCAACAAACCTTTTCTTTTTTTTGTTAATCCTCACCTGAGGATATTTTTCCATTGATTTTTAGGGAGAGTGGAAGAGAAAGGGAAGGACAGAGAGAAACATCAGTGTGAGAAAAATACATTGGTTGGTTGCCACTTACACATGCCCTGGCCAGGGCCTGGCCAGGGAGGAGCCCACAGCCAAGGTATGTGCCCTTGACCGGAATTGAATCTGGGACTCTTTAATATGCAGGTTGATGCTCTATCCACTGAGCCAAAACAGCCAGATCAAAACTACTTTCTTTTTTTATTGGATTTTTTTGAATTTTTATTGATTTCAGAGAGGAAGGGAGAGGGAGAGAGATAGAAACATCAATGAAGAGAGAGAATCATTAATTGTCTGCCTCCTGCATGCCCCCACACTGGGGATTGAGCCCATAACCCAGTCATGTGGCCTTGATTGGAATAAAAACTGGGGCCCTTCAGTCTGTAGGCCGACACTCTATCCACTGAGCCAAACCAGCTAGGGCCAAAACTATTTTCTTAATAATTCAATTATTATGTTTTACTGCCTTTATTTATGTGCCACAAAATATATTTAATAAAATAAATGGAAATGAAAAGGAAGGAAGGGAAGGAAGGAAGGAAGGAAGGAAGGAAGGAAGGAAGGAAGAAAAGAAGGAAGAAAAGAAGGAAGAAAAGAAGGAAGAAAAGAAGGAAGGAAGATACAACAGAAATATTCATGGAGATTCACATCAGTTCTTATTTTCCTTTAAATGTTTCTAGGTTAATCACATTGAATACACTATTCATGAGCCTGCCTTGTTGAATTTTAGGACAGTGGCTTATCAAATAAATTACACACTGAAATTATAAACTGGAGGCCCAAGGGCCATACACCAGAGATTATTTCAGTCTATTTAAACTATTTTTTAATTCTAGTTTCCTCATCTACTTGTTAATGCAGGCCATGTTTGGTTGACAAGCGTTTGTTTACAAATAAGAGCTTCTTTGATAATTCAAATTTTAATTGTGCATCATTTACAGACTAAAATACTTAGGCAAGTTATTTAATTTATCTGGGGCTGAAATTCTTCATGTGAAATGGAAATTATTATAATAGGATATAACTTATAGATTTACTTTAAAATTATATGTGATAATGTTTTAAAGCATTTGGAAAACTCCTTAGAATATAGTAAGTGCTATATAAATATTTGTATATGTATTACTAGATCACAGCCTAAGAATATTAATTCTTTTAGCAATTTCAGTTTATAGAACTCTACATTTACTCAACATTTTTTCTTAGTTAATTGGATTTCATTGTTTAATGGCAATTACAAAATATATATGGTTATGCTATAGTACATAGAATATAAATGCTGTTCATTGGTATCATACTTTTTTCTATAGCTACTAGTAAAACTGCTTTAACTGATAGTGTTTGAAGATGCTTTTAGTAAACCCCTTCTTAATTTTTTTGAGGAATTATCTGAACAGTAAGGTTTTTGGTAAAGTATCTTTGACTGTAGAAAACCCATGTTGTTAACATAATCATTCACACTTAAATTATTAAATAGCTTTAATTTGTATCCCTTAAAAGAATCATGTTAGGCATTTTGTACGAATGTCTAAAAAATTAATATTACCCCTCTTTTTTTTTATAGATGACCGTGAAAAATATTCTGAAATTGTCAAGAAGTCCAATGCAATTGAAATGTTATTTACACTTTATCCTCCTCAAGGTGCCCATGTGAAAGATAATAGGCGAGTTAAGTCAACTTGGCTAAGACCCACAATAGATGGGGAAGAAGGCTACAAATATATAGGTAAGATACTGAACCATATTATTTCCTTTTATAGTGAAAAAGATGATTCTTTATACAACTCTAATTTGTCACTTAGATAATGTGAGGTGATACATACTCCGTATTACATATTCTCTTTAGTTCTTAGGTATTATACCTGCATTTTAAAAAGTGGTTGCTTCATACTTTGATTCCTCCAGTAGAATAATGGAACCATACTGTGTTCATCTATTCACCGGATGATTGAACACTTGAATTGTTGTTTTAAAGTGATTCTACAAGGAAAGTTGCTATTAACATTCACATATTGAACTTTGTATAGAAATAGCTTTGCTTTCCTCTTCATTAAACTGTTTTTCTGAAGTGGTTATAACATTTCATATTCTTCCTCAGCAGAATTGTGAGAGTTGCATTAGCTCCTCAGCTCCATCAGTACTGGGATAAATCAGTCCCTCTAATTTAGTCCTTGAAATAGCTATGAATTGGTGTTCCATTGTGATTTAATTTGCATTTTTCTCATTAACATTAAGCATCCCTCCATGTATTTGTCATTTATAAATATTCTTTAGTGAAGTGACTGTTCAAATTTTTATCAAATGTTGAGATTTCTTTAATCATAATTGTCAAAAGCTGAAAACAGCACAGATATTCTCCAACTAGTGAATGGATAATCAAAGCTTGTGACATATGTACAATGAAATACTTCTCAGCAATGAAAAGGAATGAACTATTGATATATACAACAACATGGATGCATGTTAAATACATCACATCCTGTGAAAGGAGCCTAGCTCAAAAGCTACATATTGATTCCATTTCAGTGACACTTTGGAAGAAGTAAAACTGTAAGGCTAGGTGGAGGTAGGCAAAGAGTGGGAAAATGGGGGACATTTGTAATTGTGTAATAGTATCAACAATAAAAACAAACAGATATCAGGCCCTGGCTGCATTGCTCAGTTGATTGGAACATGGTTTTGTGTACCTAAAGGTGGCAGATTCAATTCCTGGTCAAGGCACATATGTAGATTGTGGATTCGATCCCTGGTCAGGGTATGTACGGGAGACAATTGATCAATGTTTTCTCCCCTCCTTTCCCCTTTCCTCCCCTCCCCTCCCCTTCCTACTCTCCCTTCCTCTCTTCTCTCTTCTCTCTCTCTCTCTTTCTCTCTCTCTCTCTCTCTCTCTCTCTCTCTCTCTCTCTCTCTCTCTCTCTCTCTCACACACACACACACACACACACACACACACACACACACAAATCAGTAAGCATATTCTTGGGTGAGGATATATATATACAGTGATCAACCCTGTGATTACCAGGACTTAGGCTAGTGGGAGGGTTTGACTATAAAGAGAGAGCAGAGAGGGTTCTTAGGTTAGTGAAACTGTTTTGTATCTTTATCATGGAAGTATTACATGACTCTTGACTAAAAATTAATCAAAACAAACTATGTACCAAAAAGAGTGACTATTACTGTGAACAAAATTTTTAAAAATCAATACAAAATAGAGAAAATAATATATATGAATAGAAAACAAGTAAAATAAAAAGTTGCCCCGTTATTTATTAGTCATAGGGAAATGTAAATTAAACCGCAGTGGGATACCACTACACACCTACAGTAATGCTGAAATGAAGACGACAACAACACAGCGTGTTGACAGGGATGTGTAGCAATTGAAATTCTAATGTTTGCCATTGCAAATGCAAAATGGTAAAAAAACAAACAAACAAACAACAACAACAAAAAAACACTTTGCAAACTAGTTTGACACTTTCATAAGAAGTAAAATATATACCTTTTATATGACCCAGCCCTAGCACTCCTAGAAATTTGCCCAAGAGGAAAGAAAGTATGTGTCCATACAAATACTTATGCATGAGTATTTGTAGATACATTTTTGTTAAAAAAAACAACAAAAAACAAAAACAAAAAAACAAGCCAAAAACAACTCAAATACCCACCTACAGGTGAAAGGATAAACAAATTGTGACATATCCATGCAAAATACTATTCAATAATATAAAATAACAGACTATTGACACTATTGATATACATATAACATGGCTGAATCTCAAAAGAATTATGCTGAAAGAGGCCATATTTGCTTTTTTAAAAAAGAAGTGCAAGTGCATAATTCTTTTTACATAAAAATTTAGAAAAGACAAACAAATTAAACCATGTGACAGAAACACATTTGTGGATATCTGGGAATGGGGTTAGGGAGTAGAAGTGAGACCTGATGAATTCTAAAATGTGGGGGTAACAAATATTTATTATTTTGATTGTAGTGATGGTTTCATGGATGCACACATATATCAACATTCATTAAATTATCTACTAGAAATATATGCAGTTTTCATGTGAACTTTAATAGAATAATAAAAATAGAGCTAAAATTTAAATTTAAATGTCCAAGATAGTGAAATATGTATTTTGAAATATGGTCAGGGCACATACCTAGATTGTGGATTCAGGTCTTGGTCGGGGTATGTAAAGACAACTGATCAATGTTTTTTCTCTCACATCAATGTCTTTTTCTCTCTGCAAGTATTTTTTCTTTAAATATTTTATTGATTTTGTACAGAGAGGAAGGGAGAGAGATAGAGAGTTAGAAACATCAATGAGAGAGAGTCATCGATCAGCTGCCTCTTGCACACCCCCTACTGGGGATATGCCCGCAACCAAGGTACATGCCCTCGACCGGAATCGAACCTGGGACCTTTCAGTCCCCAAGCCGACGCTCTGTCCATTGAGCCAAACCGGTCTTGGGTCTCTGCAAGTATTTTTTCAAGATAATCTCTCTTTGAGTTTTAAAACAAGTATTTTATTTATTTATTTGTTTATTTGTTTATTTATTAAATCTCTATTGTTGAAAGTATTATGTATGCCTCCTTTCTCTCCCTTTCCCCTCCCCCCGTACTGATTTTTTCCTAGCTTTCCAGCCTGCCTCCACCACCTGCCCCTGGCCTCCGCCACACTGTTGTCTGGATCCATGGGTCCATGCAACCTCTTTGGTTGAGCTCTTCCCACCTTCTACCTACCCCTGTCCTCCCTTTTGGCAAATCTGTATTTTGATAATATTTTTGCAAGATGATTTCTCCTTAAGTTTTAAAACCAGCATTTTAGAACTTACTACAGAGTCACAAATTTAATGCACTCTTATTGGGCCAGTAAATATAAAGTATATTTAAGTGCTCAGTTCTAATAGCTAACCTAGAAGAGGGGGGAAAGAAAGCAAGGAAATTGTGAAAATGAATGTCGCAGTCCTTAGGTTCTGTAAAATGAATCAATACTCTGGTTGCAACTATTTTCTCTTTGCAATTTTCTACCTGAAAATTACCAGAACATAAGCTGTATCATTTTTTAAAAGTTGTGTTCACTGTTGAGAGCCTCTTTGTGAACATTTGGTTTGAATAAAATAAATACAAAGCCTCTATGCAAGTGGCATTACATTGTGACTTGAGGACTCCCTCTTTGGAGGGTTTAAACTTATCTTTTCCCTTCTTAGCAAGTGACCACCTTTTTGAATTACAGTTGTTATTAAATTGACTGATAAGAGAGTTTGCAGCATTTGCCTTGTGAAAGATCAGTCTGTTACACAGAGTGCTTTCTGAAACTCAGTTACTCCTTGACTATAGCGTTTTAGTGAAGATAGCTCTGGGAATTTATTATGTGTTCCAACATTAGTACTCCACAATGTAGGGCCTCCTGTTTATTGATTTCACTCTGTAGATTAGAGATGTATCATCAGCAAGAACTGAGTAGTTAATAGAGTTACTGAATGCTCTCTTAATGGCATGAGTTGCTAACAACTTATATAGTTTTAGGGCCAGCCATACTGTAAAAAATATTCAGTAAATTCCATAATCCCTAGCACAGTAGCTTGAATATAACTGGAATGCTGCAATCATCATTTCAAATTGGTTGATAGGCACAAAGTTTTTCTTCTGAATCATAATTTTATCATATCATCTTAAACACCCACAATATAAAAAAAATATTTTAGATATTTTTTTCCAGGAACATAGGTCTTGTCAAACTTATTTTTGGAAAGGCTATCATGGGAAGCTCATCTTTTAACTTGTCTTTGGTTATCCTTCCTTATCAGTTGTCTTCCCTTGAGTTTCCCGGTTTTCTGTCTTGTCCAAAATACACTGACCTTGTTTCTCTCCTTCATAAAGTTTTTGTGATTTTGGTGGATTTTTTAATCTGGAAGCTTTAGATAATATTAAAGAACTCCTGGAATTGTAATGGGAATACCTTGAAAGGGGTAGGTCACTGAAACAAGTTTGGCTGAGTAGATAGAGCATCGACCTGCGGACTGAAAGGTCCCAGGTTTGATTCAGGAAAGGGGCAGGTACCTTGGTTGCTGGCACATCCCATTAGGGGGTGTGCAGGAGGTGACCACTCGGTATTTCTCATTGATGTTTCTAGCTCTCTAACCCTCTCCCTTCCTCTCTGTGAAAAATCAATAATATATATATATATTTTAAAAATATATGGGTAGGTCAGCCATTATCTTTCAATGGAATCATTGAGGGAATACACATGAATGATTGAATTATTTAAACTAATGATCCATTCTTAACTGAAACCATGTTATTGTAAGGTTTTCTAATTTGTCCAGATCCTGAATAATGAGAATAGACCTCTAATTTTCTAGCACTTATTTTTCATATATCATTTACTTGATATAGTAAATTTTATCTACCTTTATAATATATGGTTATTTAATTTATGTAATTAATACTGGACCTGCTTTCCTGGCCTATCACTGTTTTGTTGCCCGTTAAAAAAAGTACAATATGTCTTTTAATGACATTGCCTTTATTCTGCTGCTTTCCGGCCAGAGCTGATATGCATTAGTCAAATGATAATCCCATCTTTAAAAATTGGCAATTTTGCAATTCTCCTTGACAGTCAAGACTAATATTTGATGGTCTCCTCTCTTAGAATTTTCTACTTTGCAGTATAAGACTTTCTTTTCTTATATAGCATTCATTACAGTTGTAAATT